AGTAACCACTCTCAAGCTTGTGAGACTTGAAAAAAATTTTCTGCTTTGTGATTTGCTTCTCAGGTGTAAATCTTTCTCAGTGCTTAAAGAGACTCGATACATATCTTCCACTCTGATAAATCTAAAGAATCTACTGTAATTTTTTTCAAGACAGCAAAGTTGCTTATTTTAATGCCACCTTTAGGTTAGGTTAGCCACCTTTGCTTTTACAGTGAAAGAATAATAGTTTACATTATCCTATTTCCTCTTGGGGCTTCACATAAGCTTCCCTCTTACAACACTGGTCTTCCAGAAATCCCATCTTCTGAAACCGAGAAGGCTGTAAGAAGGAGATGAGATTCAAATCGTTGTTTATATTCCTTAGGTAGAGCATTGAAATATACTCTGCTATCACACACTATTTTTGGTTGAAAGCTAATAGTTAATATGATTGCAGCCCACCTATTAGATTGTTCCAAATGAAAAAACAGAGGTGAAGTATCTCACAAAGTCAAACCTGTGTGTGTGCTAAATTGATACTTATTTTCAGAATATCACCACTGATGACAACACATTAGGCAGAAGTGAGTATTATTAAGTCTGCAGGCTTGCATATAGTACTCATAGACATGATAGGAATGTGTTCTTGTGGAGGGTAAGGCGCATATGTTTTCATTTAGATAGTTTTCAGTAAGCTTTTAAATCTTGTTAAAGACCTTGCTAAGCTTGGTTTTGAATGATCAGTTGGGAAACATATTTAAAACATTGCTCTATTAAATTCAAATCTCTTGTAGAGATTGAATCTGACAATTATAAAGAAAGGAGGGGGGTGGAACAAGAGTTCAAATTCAAAAGGTAGAAACCAGTTCACAAAACTTACTGTAATTCTTGGAGCCACGTGAAAGAAGAAATATAATGTGGTTCAGTGTATTCATATTGTATCCTGTGATTTCAGGAATGTTATAGCTAATGAAGCTATGCTTTTCTCGATAAAATTTTATCATATTATAGGTAAACCTTACTGTGGAAACTTTTAGTTGCCCAAGAATGTATTTGAAATGTGCTATGTTAAGGATGAATATGGCAATGAAGATATTTGGTATATAGAAGTCCCATGTATCTAAGGAGTCTGATTCCTTTTTAGTATTCTTTGAGGTAATTCTGCAAGGTGTTCAGAACCTGAAAAGACTGAAGTACTTCTGACTAAGGATTTAAGTGTCTCCTTGTTGTTCTGTCCCTTTCTAATGACACACTGTTATCACTACCTATCAAATGGAATAAATAGATGCATCTTAAGCTTGTACATTCACAGTATCTCCAGAGATCAGTGATGACAACTGCAAAAGCACAGTGTCCCCATTGTACATGGGAAGGGACTGCCAAGGTTCCAAGTAGACAATTTCTGTTTTGTTGGTATGTCACGCTTTCCCTTTGTCACAAAGTTTGTCCAAAGAGGGCAAAGTAGTATTGGATCCATGCCTTCAGTACTCTGTGAGAAAACTTCCAGGTTTCAGGTTTCTGTTGGGCAAAGAAGCTTCTTTTCCCTGCTCCAGTTGTTACAAAAACTCATAGTGTTGTCTTCAAAAAAAGTTGTTAGTAGCATGGCTTGCTTTATGTAGTTGGCAGTAACTTATAGTTTTGAAATTTTGGAGTTAGGATGGAGCATCTATCTTTGGTAGCTAAATTAAAAAACTAGTGCGTATATAGTTTCTCCAAAGCGTGATCAAGAGCATCTCTCTTAAGCTTTCTGCTCTGACTCACCACTGTCTTTATTGGTATACACAGAGATGAGCTTCCTAATTCAGGCACTTAAGATAGTTGTCATAAATTAGGTTGTTTGAAAACTCTCATCTTTAGGTATTACCTGAGCTCTTTTTTCCACTGGATAAATGTTTAATCTTTTAAAAAGTGCGGCTTATTTTTAACCTTCATACACCTGCCTTTACCATCATTTCCATGAAGTTTTTAATCTCTCAGGTAGTTTTACGAACCTCAGTGCATTAGTGAAGATTTCTGAGTAACATCTATTGAATCTGATTCTATATTTGGTTTCTGTAATTCAGATCCTGGGTTTTTTTTTGTTGTTTTGGCATTTTTTTTTGTGTTGGGCATGAATGTCAATTCTCTCTTAATGAGATCCTTGTTTGCTTTTTTTGTTTGGGTGTTTCTTTTTTTTGGGGTGTGGGGGGGGGAAGTTTGGTTTTGATTTTCTTAAAAATTCCAGTCTTCCTGCCGGTCTTGCACAAAATAACATGTAAGAAGAGGGAAATAATGTGGTAACAGATAACTCAGCACCTTTTCCTGCTCTGCCCTGCTTCATTTGTAACTACTTAATCAATCCAGTATTTTATCAAACTCTTTTACATTAACGTTGAATTAGAATAAAATTAAAATCCAGTTGTGCATTTATCTGTATTTGCCACGTTACTGCCCTACACTGCACAGTGTCTTAACAGTCCAGCATTTTTGGTGTTGGAGACTTTAGTGGATGAAACCATTTCTTATTTTCATGAATGCCATTCTAATCTAACCTGCAGTCCATAGTGAAATGAGTTTAGTGGTCAGAGTCCTGTTCCTGGTGAACAATAGTCAGTGTTACAAAACCACCAAATGGGCACAAAGCTGGCAGTTTCTGCTCGGGGACACTCAGACCCAGCAAGAGTGAAGGCACAATTACCTCACACCCCAGGGAGTGATTTTTCTAGGTGAAGATTGAGGTCATTCATAAGGCAATAGGGAAAAGCATCTCTTGTGAAACTGGTCTCTGCATCAGCCAGGGAGAGCAGTTTCCAGTGCTGCTGCTGCAGGCTGGTTGCTCACTCTGGTTAAGAGGTTTTATAATCTCAGATCTCTGATTGAAGACCCCCTCAGTTATATGTGCTATTTACTTTGTAGTAGAATATGTAAGCAAAGATTTGCATTTGGGGGTGATGTTGTTAGCATGTTATTTGTTGGAAACAATACATTAATATAGGTAAGTTTCTGGTTCTACTACAGATAGTAAGTGTTTTGCCTTTAGTCAGGGAGCTGGGATGTTACTTATGGTAAATATACTAATTTATGTTTATTATTGACTGTATTACCTATTTGTTAATATGTTTTCCCAAGAGTTACTCTGACAGCAAAGCTGAGAGACCTTAAGTAGCTGTCATCTTTCTGCCAAATGGATTAAAACAAAAAATGCTCAGCACTTCTCAGTAGATCAGTGCTCGATTTCAGCTGGGTCATGCCAGGTTAACAAGCCAAAGTATCAGGTTTATTTTTTTTTTTCTTTTGGTTAAAAAAAAAAAAAGGTAAAGCTTGTTTTTGTTCATACCATTAGCTATTTCAGATGAAAACTGTGTGAGAACATTTTTGTTTTGGAGCACAGTAACACAATTTAGATTATTTCATTCCTGTATTAAAGTAACCGTAAGTGCAAATTCAAATTAATCTAATTATTTTTATTTCATCTGCTGTGTAAATAAGCCTTAAACCTCTAGTGATTACTGAGTATGGAAAGTGGCTTAACAGGAGAAATGAATACAGGACTATCTGTCTGAATCTACAGAGAGCCTGAAATAATACTTGGTCAGTGACCAGTTTCTCATTGATTTCACTGTGATAGCTCAGCTTGTCCAGCTATGCTCACTTACCCTCTATTCCATTAGTAGTCAGTCACCCTGTCACTGGAGACTAATGATGGGGGGATCATAGTTTTGTACTATCTGACTTTGGTAGTGTCTCACTAACATCTCACCTAGATCATATAAAGAGACTGTAACAGTGCCATCACTCTGGAGCTTGTTCCTGAAAGTTGGTCATCAGTCAGACATAACGTAGTGATTCTTCTTGGGGTCAAGGGCGGTGGAGGAGATTGCTCTAAAGGTCTATTCCCCTTTCCTTTTTTGTTACATTGGCAGTATAAATAGAAAATGGTTTTTTGAAAACTGGCACACATAAGCAAAATCCTTGAGTTTGAGAGAGGATATAGAAGGAAGGAGGAATGTGCCTCTGGGAGAAGCACCAGTGGGAGAAAATCCTTCAGAATCCAGGAGCACTGCCACCATGTCTAAACAACCAGCTTGTACCCACCAAACAAGCAGAGTGAGCTCCCTTCCAAGTGTTCTTTCTCCTGCCTGCAGATTGGAGTGATCACATCACATCTCTTACTTTCAACTTTTTCCAGTTTTTAGTTTTCTTCTGTAACTGCAAGGAGTAGAATTAATATATATTTGAAAAACTCTGAAAGCTTAGACTCAAACATTGTCTTGTGGCCTATGCCACAATGAAACTCATAAAGGTAATGGAAAACTACTGAAGTGGTGAGAGAAAGAGGAGTCTTGGCCAGGCAGTGTGCATGAGTTTATTGTCATACTTTGAAGGGTATGCCAGCTGCAGGAGATGTCAGTTTCTTTTGGGTACCTCCACCCTTTGCTTTCCCACTTCATCACCCCCCTAACCTCTGTGCAAAAATCACAGCTCAGGTACACTTTAGTCAGATGGAGTTGGGAGTCTCATTTGATAGCAGATCTCTATTCTTCTCTCCATTTTGATGTGTTTTTAAATTGCAAAACTTTGGACGTTGTTTAAAATTTGTGGGGTTTTTTAATACATGTTTACGCTGTTGTGCTATCTAACTTAATATTTTTATTTAATATATTTTGGACAATTTTAACCAAATTCAAGTGTGTCAAAGATACTTAAGCCCAAGTGAATATTGTGAAAATTGGCAGCTGTGGAGATGAGAGAGAGCCTGATAATGCTCCCACTGTTGGGAGGCTTACCCTTTACTTCACATGGGAAAATAATCCTAAGAGAGAGATCAGGGAACACCAGTCTTTTGGTTCTGCTATTTATGGAACTACTTGTTTATTCTTAGAAGTCCTTTGAGGGTATTTTTGTAAACCGAGCATCTACTCTGTACAAAAGCGTCTAGATAGTCTGTGACAAGTGATGTATTACTTCGGTTGTACATAATCACGGTATGTTCTGGTTCCCCTAGTAAAATTGGTGGATTTTTATTTCTTTCTCTCCCCAAGATTTCTTTTGACCTAGCAGAATATACTGCTGACGTTGATGGGGTTGGCACTTTACGACTCCTAGATGCTATTAAGACCTGTGGCCTTATCAACTCTGTGAAGTTCTACCAAGCCTCCACCAGTGAACTATTTGGAAAAGTGCAAGAAATCCCGCAAAAGGAGACCACCCCTTTTTACCCAAGATCGCCTTACGGTGAGGATCGCTGATGGTGTGTGTGTGTAGTGTCTGTCTGTCTGTTCTCCCCACTCATGTATCAGGGCTGAAGTCATTTGGGTGTGAGATTAGAATGACAATAGAGCTCAAGTGACTAGACATGTCGAGAGGCATACCTTTATGAATTACTATATAAAAAGCATTTGCTGCCATTGCCCGGGGGTTGGAAATTAGCATCTCACTTCACAAGACCGTGTTCATTCAGCTCAGAGGTAGAGAGCTCTTGTAGAGAGGGGAGGAAGGGTGGCTCTTCCTTCACAAAGGGTTGTGAGGTACTGCTGAAGCGATAAGGTTTCATATTTTTTGTTGCCTAAATGAAAAACTCCCAAGAGCTCACTTCTGCCTTCATGAACTCGCATGAAATTTGAAGCACTTATTAAAGCAATGTGCATGGAGTACTTTGGTTTCAAATCAATTTGAGTGTTAAGGCACCAGATTTTCGCTTGTATTCCTCTAAAGTAATTTTTTTTATTATTATTATTATTATTAGCAGAGGTCACCACAGTGGCATATTTCACACGCTCTGGCTGTGTTAATTATATTGTAAAAGAAAAAGTGCTACGCTTGAGTGTGCAAGTGAGAAATTGGCCTAATGCTTCCTGGCCAGTTCAGAGACTGCAAAGAAAAGGAGAATTTTCCCACTCAGCTGCTGTTTATTGGGCTGAATTATTTTTTTTTTTAATTGGAAATGTGACACATATAGGGAATGAATCAAATTCTAATGCACTCTGCTGTTGAAATGTTAACTTCATCCTGTGTGTGAGATATGTATGTGTGTGTCAGAGATGTGTATGTGTGTCTGAACTGTGTACAAGCAGGGTGGATATATGTAACGCTTCAAAATTATTTTTGTAGGGGCAGCAAAACTGTATGCCTACTGGATTGTGGTGAACTTCAGAGAGGCCTACAATCTCTTTGCTGTGAATGGCATCCTCTTCAATCATGAAAGCCCCAGGAGAGGTTAGAAAATCCATGTGAAACTGGTCCTAACTTTGCATACATCTGAACGGAAAAATGAAACAACGCATCCACATGTTTAATTTAAACTTGCCAGAATTCTGTAGGGAGAGAGTGTCGTGACTCGTAGCCTGCTCATGGCATTTAATGCAGCCCTCCTGGCAATCTCAGAACCTGCAGAACAGCAGCTTTCCCTTTCAAGCATCATATTCCATTTTGTAGCCCTCTGATAATGAAGGGAGGCTTGTCTATCAGATTTTGTGTATCAGTGCTCTCGAGAGACTGCAATAACGTCATAACATCCCTGAGTTTTCTTTCCCTCTTGGTAATAAGTTAAGGCTAAAATGTTAAAATGACATAGTAAAAGGCAGGTTTTCTAAACATTTAGATGGGCAACTGCATAACAGATGCAATTTCAGGTGTGACTTGTACTTAAGATTTTTATTTATGTATAGATGTCAACTTAAGAGGCAGAAATAGTAGACCTTCTAAATTCATAAGACTAATGAGTATAGCCCAGTACATTTTGAAAAAATTGTGGATTATGGCCCACGCCTTCTGAAAAGACGGCTTTTAACACATGGCTTTAAAATGCCTTTCTGTTTAATCCTTAATAGCAATGCAGCTTAAATTCCACTTAATCATCCCTTTTCCTCTTGCAATACTTTATGAACAATTAATACTGGTATTTAGTTTGAGTAAGAGTCCACGGTTGATTAAAAGTCTCTTATACAATGATAATTTTCCTCTGCCCAGTACTGTGATTGTAGAAAACATTCTAAAATTAGACTTTGAATTAACACAGAAAACTGTATTCTCAGTGCAGAAGCCTTTTATTGTGGTCTGTTTCTAAATGAAAAATAAATTCAAGTTTTACAGGAATGTAATTAAATAAATTATAGCCTGGCACAAAATATAATCATTTTAATTGTACTGACAAATATAAAATAGACCATAATTGCAACTCTGCTTTTTTTTTTTTTTTTTTTTTTTTTTTTAATAAAAAAGAGGGAGGGAGAGAAAAAAAAAAAAAAAGGAGTCAATGCCAATAGGATTTAAATATTGGTTTCAGTTTTTGAGAGTCGCAGGCTGTGAAACCTCATAGTACACTGGGTAGGCAGCATTTACAGTAAATGGTGCATCACTTCACTGGAGCAGATGACAGTACAAGTTCAAAATTAAAAGAGAATCAATTTCACTAGATTGTTTCATTTCAAAGCCCTAATACTTTGCTTTCTTTTTAAAAGTTCACTGAGATATATCTCGGTGCACTGTAAACTGATGTCCAAATTTCTCTGAGTTATCATTATGCAATTAAAACATTCTGACAAATATTAGCAATGACAAATATTAGCTTGGCATGATTTCTAGGAACACTAAGGAGCTACAAGATGAGATGGAAATTATAGGAACACATTTACCATTTGTGATGCTTCTCCATAGGCATGTGCCATTTTGAAAGGGGAAAACTTCAGTGCTCGTTGCTGTTTTGATTCCTCTGACATTTGTTCCAGCTTTGACACTGCTGCAATGGAGCTTCCAATCCAAAGTCTCTTTTCAACACATTTAATGTCCACATAGAGTCCCCAAGTCTGTGCTTTGAAGCCTCAGGCTGTGCTTTTGGTTGTATGTGCTGGGTGCAGTTTTAAGCCCCTTACACCACAAACAGGAATCTTGTTTTAGAAATGGTTTCTGTTGGCTCCATTCGCCTTAGCAGGAGTACATGCCATGAAAGCAACTGTAACCACAGCCCAGTGCCATTTGCTTAGTGTTTTTATGGGAGAAAGTCTGGGAATTTATACAGAGAAGAAAAGGGAAAAAAAGTAGTTTAGAGGTTGTTTCTTAATAGTCATTCATCAATTTCCTAATGCTTTTGAAGACTGCAAAGGTGTTTTGGGAGGGAAAGAAGATTTAACTGGGATTTCTAATTCCTATACAGAGATGGCAATATACATGCCAGTTTTAAAATGCCTTATGGTTTGGCCTTTTTTTTTTTATTCTATTGATTTCAGAGATTGGGAGTACCTAAATAAAACAATACATATTTTATTCCAATATTACATACCATTATTCCAATTTATTTAGTGTTACACTGAATTGATCAAATACAACATCCCATTGGTGATGATACTAAATGCATCTTGTCCACACAAAACATAATGCCCAGGACTCAGCAGTGAGCAGAAGGTTGTGACGGTGCCACTTGCTGAGGTGCAGAATTATCTATCCCGACAGACAGTGCCTATTTTTTTCCCCTTATCTAGTGTTAATCGTATTTCTGAAAAATTCTGTAAGCTTCCTGCAGTGAATGTATTTATAGAAAAAGACTGTGAAGAGACAAATCCTAGTATTTCTCGTAGACAGGGATCCATGAGACATGTTACACTATAAGGATGAACAGAATGGGTTTTTTGGTACCTGGCAGCCTGTGTTGTGGACTGTGATCAAATACAGCAGTATTCGTATTTGAAGTGCCAGTACTTATGGTGAAGGTTGATGAATTGCGATTGTCTGCCAAGTGGCTCTTAACAGCTGGTCACTGAGGCTGAAGGGAACAGGCAATGGTAAAGAGTTTGCTTTTGTGATCTCTTTTCATATAGTGTTCAGATATTATACTACTGGGGCAGTGATATGTGAAATGACGTCTATCTAATCTCAAGAACTGCTTCCCTGAGAAAGGAATTTAGAAATATACACCTCTACTTTCAGAATACCGATTCTTCTCCTTAGCCTTCTCGGTTTTAACTCTGAAAGGAGCAACAGTAGTTAATCTCATGTAGCCTGTATAATAATAGGGAACTCTACACAGAGTTCATAAGGGTAAAGAGTGCTTAAGTCTAATAAGAGAGAAATTTCCTATTTCTTGAAATTACAAAAGCTTGAGTGAAGTGCTGGCTTTGAAAAACTCATTTGATTTTCTACTTTTATCTTTTTCTATAAGAGAAAGACCATAACAGGAGTAGTTCTTAAAATGTGACACCATACTGCAAATCTGAACACTAGAGTTCACTGTGTGGGCTTGCTTTTAAATCTGATGTTTCATGGTCTGACTGCCACAGTGACTACAAAAAACACCAGTGATAAATTTCAGGTTGATTGAAGCCACTGTCCGAGCCTTATCTCTTATTTTGGGAATAGTACAGCATCATTAAAATGCACAAACACTTGAGTCCATACTCAAGAGATACGTGTGTATGTAACAACAGAGAATATTATCTAAAATCACATATGGAGTAAAATGAGTGGCTATGTTAGACTAATTTAAATAGTTTTATAAGACAAAATAATCACTTTTTAACCAGTACATGCTTTTCAGCTCACATAAAGCAACACAGCTGCACCGAAGTGAATAGGGTCATGTTGATTTATGCCAGCTGAGGGTTTGGCATAGGACTTTCAGTAATGGTCTGGTAATGTAAGATAAGCATAATTTTGCTTGCTTTGGGGAAATGATCTGTATTAGCAGTGTACCTTGCTAAAGCTGATTTCTTCATTTAGTTTCATCAGTTTTATCCAGTTATAGCTCAAATGTTTCCTGATTTATGGAAATGCCAAAGGAGAAAGGGATCTTCCATTTCTGAAGCTTATTTATTGTCTAAATATGACACTAGCTGAAAAGCAAAATGCTATAAGATGTCCTCCAAAAACAAATAAACAAAAGAAAACCTAAAAAAACTTAGCCAGAATACTACTGGTTTTGACAATGGAAGAGTGAGGCAATTAGCAAGTCTGGTTTTCAGGTAAGATGGGGCTCAATCCAAGCCTTTTTTACACCATTGGAAAGATTCCTATTCTTTTTTTGGGCTCTGGATCTCACTAATACCTTCCTTTCTGAGTGAGAAAGCAAACTACTTGTTGACAGTGTCATTTGTTTCTTCCCAGACAAGCCCTTACTTTTTTTCCTCCTCAGTTCCGTGTAAGAAGTTTTCTCAGGTTTACAAGATGTGCCTTTGGATGTCTGAGATAACTTTTTGATTTGATTAACCACTTCATTGCTTGCCTCATCTGATCTTTATCTACCAAGATGTACAAACATGTACAGCACATTTCCTGACACAATGCAACAGAAGTTCTGTTTGTTTTTTGTTGCTTTTTTTTTCCTCTAAGTAATAAATACTTTGCCTCCACACATGACATCATTGTGTAGATCATTCAGTAGGGAATTTTTGTTTGTTTGATACCAGCCCTGGTAAAGCAGTTGTCATCAGACCACTGCTGTATAGCCAGAGGGAAAGGATACAACTGCTCATTTCTGTGATCTCTTTCAGCCAGGGAGGAAATGGCTAGGTGTTAAATTGCAGGCTGAATGTTGTCAAAGTACACGTAGTAAGATTAAAATGAAAAGAAATCATGATTTAAAGAGAATGGGGAGTGTTCTTTGCTTTTATTGTGCACTTGGATCACAAGTTTGCCAGGGGAAAGGGGGTGTTTCCCCTACTCACTGCAAATATGTTTGGGTATCTTTTGAATTTGTTTTTTGTTGTTACCTTTTTTTTAACAAGCTTTCAGTCTCCTTTTTGCCTCTATTTCATAGAGAAGACAGAAGCAGGTGGTGACATCTGCTACTGACTTTCACAAGAAATCCCTACAATCCCTGCTCTAACAGCTGCTCTCCTGCATCTTCTATAAAGAGAACTAGCCAACATCTGCTGGAGTTCCCTTTCTCATTTCTTTGGTTGAGGAGCTAATTGCTAGACTCCTTACACACTTTCTGTGCAAGAGGAGCTTGGTCAACCTAGTACTAGTGGAAATACTAAGGGCTTCTGCTGGTGTTCTTTTTGTAAGTCTAGACCTGTGAAAGATGCAAGTGTAAAATTTTCAGTGCAGAGCTATGTCTCTTTCATTTAATACAAAATTTCCCAGCCCACATGTATATCTGAATAGCAAAAGTCAGCAAACTGTTGCTTGTGTCTTGTTGACTCCTTGCTGGATGAGAAGTACGCAGGCTGGCTAGTATCATCAGGGATCATCTGCCTAGCATATTGAAAACTTAATGGCAAGGTACCAT